CTTTAATGACCTATCTTGTTAAAGACCAGCCTAACACTACAAAATTCCTTAAGTGGCAAGCAATTCTACTTCCAACCATAGGCCTTGTGCCATGTTATCAGGAGGCGTATCTCAATTCACCTTGACTTCCAACTTGACTTTTCATTATTGGTTGGTATTGCATTATTATTAGTATATTCTGGCTTCTTTCGTCAATGACTTCCATATAGATATGATCAGAGCTCCAACTTGGTTCCTTTATATATACTAGATTAGCTTGCCTGCCTCTATGAAATTACTTTCTTTAGCTAGTTGTTTCATAGTGCCAGAGATGCTTCTTGTTTAGGTAAGGCCAATCCTTTATCACAGCCCTTTCACATGTTCGCCACTTTTCTTACCATTCCAGTTTCGGTAGTATTATGTTACTCTCTCAAGCAAGTATCCAGCACCATTTCTAAATTAGACTAAAACGCACAATCCATTGATCATCCTTCCAAGCAAGTACTCTACAAGTTGGATGCGAAGATATTGGTGTTGCCTAATATAGAGGTGAAGGGATGTTGGTGTTGCCTCTAAGTCATCCCAACCAGAGGGCTAATACGTGCGATCTTCTACAGCCTAGACCTTCTGTGACACTACTGTCACACATGATGCCTGCATTCCATGATCAAGGCTCCTTCCAGAAATTTCTATTCCAAAACCGTACTTGCATTTGGACTTTCCACAGGGCTTTGCATCTGATTATAACTTCATTTTTAAGATTACAGTAACAAATTCAAAAATTTGCCACCAGCCCGACTTGAACCGTTAACCTTGTCTGTGGGGGTTTGGGAGCTTAACCAGTAAGCTACAGGGCCCAAACCCCAGATTAAGGTAATTGTAATTTTAGATTCAAGGTATATTCATATTTAAAAATGGATTTATGCATATACATGATTCGGAATCATGCATATAATTCTGAATATGTGCATTTTATAGAAAAATTAAAATTAGAGATGTGTCATGCGAATGTGTCAAAAATTGGGTTGGTAGCCTTGATACTAAAGTAATATTTAAAGATAGGTCAATTGATTTCATGTATATACATTAATGCATATTTGTATATATGAATCTATTTCATATTTGTAATATTATATATAGAAAACTATAAATAGTCAAAACTTGAATATTGATATGTGTTGGCCTTATTATTGTATAGATAATATATTAAAGAAATATCATAAAGAAGCATTCTTTTGTTATTTTAATAGGCTTTCTTTTTTTGCTTTTACTCATTTTTTATCATATACATGAATATATATAATTTTGAAAAAACACATTTTATTTCATCTCTATTCATATCAATTTAATAATAAAAAAAAAGCACTAGTATTAATTTAATTCTACAAATGCCTTAAGCATATTCATTTTCTCATACAAGGCTTTAGGAATCAATATAAGCCACAGGAAGTCTTTTTAATTTTTTAAGCTAAGGTATAAGAAATGCTATCGCAAGTTACAGGTAACCATTTTTGCTCTTAGTCTATTTCTGTGATATTTTATATATTTTCTAAAACTTTTTTGACATTATCTATAGAGTTAGGATTCAATCCTAATTGATCTAGCATATACATTTCGAGAACAACATTATGCTCAGGTTTTAATTGTATAATGCTAATATAATCAATATTAGAACCTTTTTGTTCATAAATATACATATGAGGTTTTATACAAGAGATTTTGATTGAGAAGCCATATTAATTTGAGTAAATTCATTAACGGATTCTTGTAAAATAGCTAATATGTCTAGTTTTTCATTGCACTTAGAACAATTATATTTTTTATTGTTGATATTAGACATATTGCATTTTTTACACTATTTAGACTGACTTCTAATACCTTTTTGATTTTTAATGATTAGGTTAATAGTATTGATATTTTTTTTTTTCAGCAACAAGCTTCGTTAAAATTGCTGAAAGTATATTTTTAGTTCTAGTTTATGTTCCATTTGCATTTCGGACGTAATATAATATAGTTTTTTATACTGTTTATTAGTTAACGAATCACAAACCCAAGAAGCAATTATAAATTGGGCACTATCATTTTTATTCATATTTAGTGCAACAAAACTCGTAACTGTATGATAGATAACTGTATTATAACTACGATTAAGATAATTATACTGGCCATGCTACTCATTATCAAAGGCTAAGAATAAGAGCTCTTTAGATAAAGGTTTATTTTCAATTGCTAATGATTCTAGCTAATTAACAAATTTTATATAACTTTTAAAACTAATTATATGATTATCAATATTAATAATTGTTTTAGATTGTGTTATTGAATATTTAATTCTGACTATAGCTAGATTTATTTCTGATACGTAGTTTTTATGTCTCGATTCATATATAGCATCGACCGTGACCATTTTTTTAAAAAATTTTTCATTTAAAGTATTAATATTATAGCTATTACTATTATTATGTATAAAAGTATTAATAAAATTCACAAAAACTGTGTTACAATTAGCTAACCAATTATCAAGTACAAAATTTAATAAATTATTAAGTGAAAACTATTGCTTATTTAAAATCAATAACTCAATATCTTCATAAATGTTTTGTTGCTCTTGGTTTGCAATTTGAATTACAGAATCAACTCTTTTTTTTGGCTATTATATTGGTGTTTTCCATTCATATTTTAATGCATTATTCTGTTTAATTAATTCTTTATTTATTTTGTTTATTTTTTGAACACGATCCCAACTTTCCACTACATAGTTGTATGCATATTCTAAACGTTTTTTAAGATCTTCTATCTCATTTAACTTTATATTTAATTGCACTTGTAGATGATAACTTTCAAAAGTATATAACGTGTTATCAAATACTTGTATACCAATGTCACGAGTCTTCTTATTAACTTGCATACTGATTTCATCAGTTTGAATACCAATTTCACAAGTATTTTTTTCATGCTCTGTACGAGTATGCTTTTCAACCAATTCATCTTCAAAATTAAGATAATGTACTTTATTTTGTTTATTTTTATAAAATTGCGAATAATTCACATCCAAAAGAACTTGTTGCAAAAAATCAGATATAACAAGTTGATTATAATATTTTTTATATAAAGAAAGATCTTCTAAATATATCTGAATTTGAACTAATTCAGGAAAAAAGCTATTATACAATAGATGATGACTTTTGCTAATTTACTATCTGCATATCATATTATTTATAACTCTTTAGTTTCACATTCTAACAACCCAGAACCTTCATGCAATAAAACTAAAGAAGCTAAAGCGCAAGGTAATTCATATGCTAGCTGTTATTGACATCATTGATGTTGACTAGTAGGGGACAAAATAGGCCAGGTCGGGCTAGGCTTGTATGAACCCAAAACTAAACTTAGTAAATATTTATATGCCTGGGCCCAGCCCACTGAAAAAAAAGCCTGTAAGTGCGAACTGGATCGGGTTTTGATTTTAAACTAAGCCCAGTCCATAATCAACTACTTAGCATATCTCATAAAAATTTTACATTACAATTTTTTTTATTAATAATGTGAAATTTTTATTTATATATGCAATTTATAAATTTTAAGCACCCTAGAGTTTATGTAATACTTATACTATCAACACTAGAGATGCAGCAGAATTGTCATAATTATTGCTGTAACTAGTTATAACATAAGCTTTAGCTAGTTACGGTTTAAGCTATAACATCATTAGGATGATTCGCCTACATCTCTAATCGATATCTAGTAAAACCTAATCTGTTCAATTAGTGCTTAGTAATTTTATTAGTGTTAGTTTATCCAAATTAGAAATCTCAAATACTTAAAATTATAGATACCAATACCAGATATAAAATTATTTTGAATTACAAACTTTTGATAGCAGATATAAATATTTATAGTAGATTTTCTTGCACAAAGAACACCCTAATTAGTAACAAATTCTGCCTTCTCTTATGCTAAAAAATGGTATAAAATAAGCTTAAAATTTTTAAGACAAAAAATTTACTATGAATTATATTCTCTGATTCTGACAAAAATTAGCAGAATGATTTTTGGCTAATTCAGTTAAAATCGTGATTTCGGCATAATAGATTCAATAAGGAGGCTTCAGAATTAACATGCAGAAATCTAATTTTGACAATAATAGATAAAGCCACACAAAGTTAAGTTTTTAATCATAAAATTTATTTTAAAAACAAAGATAGCAATATTAATTTTAATCAGTTTAATGAATTCAATTCAACAAAATCAATACTTATTTAATCAAAATATAAAG